TTGATGGTTGCACGAACACCTGGATGCGAAAGTTTGTGCAATGTGTTGAAGACATTGCGTCGATAATGTTTCGGCACGATTGGGCGATCCCTACCTGTAGATGTGTCACAAAGTAAGGTTTCCTTACCTGTTCCCATCTGTCTGATGCGTAGTTTAAGTGTTGTGGACGATAACTCGTGCTGAAGATCAGTGTCTTCTTTTTGAAGCTGGGCGAGTTTAAGAAGGTCGATTCCTTGGAAACTGTTCAAGGAAGTTATGCGAGATAAAGCGTCTGCAACTACATTGTTTGCTTCAGAGATGTGTTGGATATCTGAAGTAAACTGCGAAATGTAGTCCAGTTGTCGAGACTCACGTGGAGAGTACTTGTCAGAAGCAGAGCTTAACGAGAAAGTGAGCGGTTTATGGTCCGTGAAAAGAGTGAATTCACGACCTTCGATGTAGTGTTGGAAATGCCGTACAGCACAATACATAGCTAGGAGTTCCCTACCGAATGTGCTGTACCTCGATTCGGTGTCTAGCAACCTTCTAGAGAAAAATGCCAAGGGTTGCCAGGAGTTGTTAACCCATTGTTGTAAGACTCCTCCGATTGCCGAGTCGGATGCGTCTACTGCGATGCTAATGGGTGCTCGGGTGTCCTGATGTGCGAGCATCGTTGCTTTAGCAATCAGTTCCTTAACTGTGGAGAATGCTTTTCGTGCGGTGTCGTCCAAATTAATGGATTTCGCATTTCCACGAAGTTGGTCAGTCAGAGGTTTCATAAGTAATGCGCATTTGGGTATGAAACGTCTATAGAAACTTACCAGGCCGTTAAACGTGCGCAATTGCTTGACGGTGGTCGGTTCTGGGTAATCCAGAATGGCCGCCACTTTGGTCTTAAGAGGTCGAATGCCTTGAGCATCGATAGTGTGTCCTAGGAAGTCTAACGAGTCGGTTCCGAATTGGCATTTCTGAACGTTTACAGTTATGCCATGTTTTTGAAGTCGTTCGAAAACAAGATCCAGATGCTTGAGATGTGTTTCTCTGTCGGGACTTGCGATTAGACAGTCGTCAACATACGCGTGTACGAAATTGAGACCTCGAAAAACGTCGTCTATGAATCTTTGGAATGTTTGAGCAGCATTCCTTAGACCGAAAGGCATTCGCAAAAATTCATAGAGTCCGAAAGGAGTTATGATAGCTGTTTTCGGTATGTCGTCAGTAGCCATAGGGATTTGGTTATACGCTTTAACCAAGTCGATTTTCGAAAAGACAGTTGTACCTTTCAAAGTAGCTGTCAAATCGTGAATGTGAGGCAACGAGTAACGATCGGGAATGGTTTTCGCGTTCAATCGCCGATAGTGACCAGTTGGACGCCAATCGTTGCTGTCCTTTTTAGGGACCATGTGCAACGGAGATGCATATGGGCTACTTGACGGTCGTATGATTCCTAAGTCCATCATGTGATCGAATTCGTTTTTCGCTAACCTTAGCTTTTCCGGAGCTAGTCGTCGTGCTTTAGAGAATACAGGTGGTCCTGTAGTCGTGATGTGATGTGTAACATTGCTGGTTACACACGGTAGTTTCGGTTGAGTTTGTTGTATCCCAGGGTACTTATCGAGTAGTGGTTGATAGAGTGGGTCTATCATATGTTTAACTGTGACTGGGGATACTCTACAACCAGTAAAGGAAGTTACGCAAACGGACAAATTAGTGTTTCCGTCTACTAGCCTCCGTTTGCGAGTGTCGATGATCAGATTGTGGTGTTGTAGAAGGTCCATACCAATGATTGGCATAGAAACATCTGCAACAACGAAAATCCAGTGGATGGGTTTGCGTAAACCCACGTTAAGGTAAACGTACCTTTTGCCATACGTAGCGATCGGTTTTCCATTTGCCGCCTGTAAGTTAAAAGCCGACTCCTGAAGCCGGTCGTTAGGATTTGCTGGGAGAACGCTAACTTCTGCGCCAGTGTCGACGAGGTAACGAACTCTCGTTGTCACATCTGTGACGAATAACAGACGGCTTTGTTCGCCGGCTACGGTTGCCGTTAACGCGTCCCGGCTTGGAAGTTTCCCGAATTGCTTTTCGAATCAGTCGGTTTCGTGTTGGGAAAATTGCAGGGTTTTCTGCAATTTCTGGAAAACTTTCCATACTGGTTATGATACCAGCACCAGTCGGGGTTATCTGTCTCTCGTGGTCTAGACACAGATCGCTTACGAGAAATGCTTCTACGTGGTGTGCGCGATCTCTTACGGTCGTTGCGAAGACTAAGATAACGCGTGAGTATGTGACAGAAGTCGTTTATATCATTCTGGGTCGTTTGAGGTTTTTCTTTGACTGAAAATACCTCGGTAGTAGAAAGTTTCGTAATTTCTAATATGCGGTCGGCAGATGCAGCTAGCTCGTCTAAGGCATTGTTCTGGAACGAGACCAGAACTGCTTGCACCTGTTGGGGAAGTTTTGACTAGAAGAGTTGTTTGAATAGGCCTTCGTCGAAAGTTCTTGGGCCTATTACCTCTCTCATCCGTTGCAACATGTCTGTCGCAGAACCATGTTGCAGGTCGATATTGTTGAAGAGTTGATCTAACCTTTGTCGATCGGTTAGGTCTCCTCGTTTAAGAATCGAGCGTTTTAAGATTTCGTAAGGATCGGAAACATCACTAGTAAACATACTAGGTGTTACGTACCTGTTGAATTCGCGCGGTAGTGCCTTGACTACTGCGAGGAATTGTGCACGTGTGTCGATCACGCCGTGCTCGGAGAAGTCGGCTTCTGCGTAGCAAAACCAGGCTTCGATGTTGTCGGGCCAGAAAGGCATCAGTTGAAACGAAGGCGGGGACAAAGTCTTAAGCTTGAGTTTTTTGGGTGTCTGTTCAGTCATGATGATGAACGAGGGGAAAAAATATATATCCAAGAAAAAACACGAAAAAAATCACAATGTTTAAAAAAAATAAAAAAATAAGGCAATGATATATAAAAATCCCAAAAAGGAACAGACTCACAGTTGCAATTAGGTGTACCAGATCACGTCGGTTTCACCAATGTTGATGTCACAGGTATTCAGTGTTTGACAACGCTTCTACCAGTAACACCTTCTAATATATTTCGTTCCCGCCCAGAGAAATCAAAAGACAGAGTCGAGGAGATCGGAAGAGTATATTTGGCGATGACCAATATATCGGGATTCTCTGATCTAATCTGGCTAGCGATTGCGGTTGATGTTGAGCACGGCGTTACCACACGTGATCTGGTGCGGATGACTGACCGAGCGCCTTCAGCTAGGTGAGTCCACTAAAACATATGGTCAGCATCCAATGTCGAAAACTTAGTGCTATTTATTTTGGGGATTTATTTACCGCTACATCACCTCCCAGTACCCCAGGTCTAAGTGAGTCTAAGGTTAGTGATCAGTTGACGAATAGCTTCTTCATTTAAATGTACAGGCCCTATAGCTAGTATGTCAGTAGTGTCGTTATGATAAGTATTATTTACAACACCTGTAGAGTAAACTCTGCTGACCAGGTTTGACTGAGCTGGTATATTTGGATTTTCGCCCAATAGTAATGGAGGAATACCATCACTACTATTTTCCTTCATTTAACGTACGAAAACAATCTTTTTGGGCATGTACAGCTATTGTGTCTTTCATGAGTGGTACGGCTCTAACCATGGTGAACTACGTTGTATCCCTCCTATAACCGCTAACCAGTGTCTAGATTTTATTGTACAACAAGCTACCTCATACGTACCACTATCATGCGCGTCTAACGTGCTCGACTGTACGCGTAAATAGACTGTAACACAATATTATGTCACCTCCCACGTGATTTGTAATTCTATCACTTCTATTACAGATGTAGCTCGAAATAAGTGGGAAGCAGTCTATTTTTGCCCAAATCCACGTTTTTGTGATATATCGACACTTAATTCATCCACCATCAAAATTTAATCGGACGTTTCATTTCTAATAATACCAGCGCTTGTGTAGCACCCATTGAAGGTGTCGTGAGAATCACTTATTTTTCCCACACAATTCTCGGGAACACCGACTTCAGAGACTTTTTACCCCAAAAACCCTCAATGGTAATGTTTGTTTTGCCTTCTCGCTCCCGAGTTTTTAAGTCAGTAAAGGCATTTTTCCATTTGATTCGGTTCCCAATGTGATAGGATACGAATATTAGAATTTAGAGATCTTTTGCGTTATTCGTTATAGCGTCTCTTTCTTCGTAATTTCCCAGCTAGAACTTCAGGATTCTTCTTGATCGTGTCTCACATCCAACCCACATACTGAGTCTTATCCCTTCAGTTTTATGCATCCCTCAAACCTCTTCTAGCAGTATATTTTGGATGGTAAAGTCAACACTGAATCGAAGTCGTGTACGTGCCTTTGAGAGGGGTCACTTTCTCTAGACTTCTTCAAATTGCAGATAATTAGGATAGAAACGGATTTGACTCCTTTGAAAGTATTGTTGTCGTTTGCTTCCTGTCATCTACTAGGACATTTTCTTTGTTTTTTGGATTATAGTCAATTGATTCAAGCAAATTGCTGACGACAGTGTTTGACGAGATCAAACTTTTTTCAACTACTCTAGGGTTAAATATTGACTTACTTCGGGACCTTCGTGGATTAATCTCTATTTTGAACCTCACTAGTGTGATAATCAACTAAAAAGGGTAAGACAAAACGGGTTTTAAGAAAAATTCAGACCGTAGATGAAATGAATTAAGTCAACTTTGGACAAATCTTCTTTGATGCAATAAATACTCCATTGACGTTTTAGGGAGTAGCTTCGTGTCTTCTTACTACTTCCTAGTGCTTTTATCATTTAATAACTATGAATGATTCAGAAAATAACAGTACTTATTTTTAGTGATGAACGACATCATATTATCGGAATGAAGCGTCCAAAGTACAAGCAGTTTACTGTTTCCAGACTGAAAGTCCAAAGGTTGAGGTCTGGGTTCTGAAAGGTCAGCGGATAATTTGAGTTAGTGCGGCTCTTGTAAAAACGCTAGTGGTAATGAATGAGTTGGAGAAGTTATTAAGTTAGTATCGAGTGTTTCTCTTTACGCAAAACCTTATTATAGGTAAAGCTACAAACCCGATATCAGACCAGTATGACTCTGACACCGTGAATGAAATTGCAAAGCTGATTGATACTCAACCTAATGGTCCAATCTTTACTCTTCGACTTCTTGCCCATAAAATTAAGTCTCCACATGAAAAAGAAGCTCTTAGTTCTTTAATGGTAAAAGTTATTGCTCTTTTATAAGTTTTAGCTGTTAGAGTTTTTATCCAAGCGTTGTGGTCCAACATTTATATCCGAACTCGGAAAGTTCAAGTTTCTCAACGAACTAATCAAAGTTCTCTCGCCCAAGGTAAAGTTGAAAATTACGAAATTTTTGTAAATTTTGCCGTGTGAGAGACCAGCAGTCATAGGTCGCACTATTTTTCCCATGTGTCGGTCTGAATATCCTAAAGCTTCTTCCATGTTATTGTCCTTTCTTAGTCAGTTGTAGTAAGATTTCAGCCTTAATTTCCATTTGTCCTTAAAGTGATATGATATTTTTCGTCAGTTCTTTTACAAACGGCAATAATAAGCCCACCTAACACTAGAACTAGTGAATAAGTCCTGTGAAATGTTTTTGTGCGAATCCGTCTTTATTATTACTTCAGTAGTTTTGTAGGTTGACTGCTTCTCTCGTGTGAAAGTCTTGTAAAACCTGTTGAATTAGATGCCGATAAAACGTCCTGACAGATATGAGAGACCTTTATTTTCTGCTGAATTACGGCACTTGTAATGTTCGATTGTCTTACGGTTAGTCGTACTAGATAGCAGTTCACTTTGTCTCGTTCTATAAGTTTCAGTTTCATCTATGCTTCAAGATCAACTCTTTTATTTGACATTATCCGGCGTTCTCCGTATATTTTTCGATTGTTTCTGTTCAATTCCCTTCCGTGTGCTGTTATATTTGGTAATGTAAACGACCCCTACTTTCGTTTATCGTTAACTTTCAATGTAAACTATCACCTGGTTTAACATGTGTTCTTTTATACTTTATTATATGGCTTTAAATACTGCGAACTTTTGCGTTTTTAATTCCCTTTGTCTATAACTAAAATTTCAGTCAGTACACATTTCACATTTCTACAACTTCTGGTTTTTTACTTTTTAGTATCTTGGTGACCAGACATCTTCATGTGTAAAAAACAAATGTGCTCAGTTGCTTCATAATTGGCAGCGTGATTTCTCACCAAATGAACCGAAGTTTGCTGAGGCATACAACATGCTTGTTCGAGAAGGTATTATAACTGCGAGTCAGATAGTTTCTACTGACTCCGTTTCAGAGGTAATATTCACTATCTTTCAAACTGAAATCGTAATATAAAATTATTGGATTGTTTGTGATATGAGACAAAGTATTGGGAATCGACCATCAGCAATGAAATCTGTATTCATGCGATTAACTCATCCTCAATACGAGTTGCCTGGTGATAGTTCCTAAATACTTAGATCAAAATAGGCAAACTGGTTTGCAACTCATAATTCAGTGAACAAACGTTACGCACCTATCTTACTAAGGGCGAAGTCCAAGGGGTTTATTCAGCCGTGTACTGACTCAAAAAGTACTGGTCTAGTCAGAGCTTATTGCAAAATGTCATCAGAAGTAATTACTTCATGTGGCGTTCAGGGGGAACCCTCACTTTCCCCATCTTGACCCGAATTCGTCATAGAAATGATTTTAGCGATAACACTATCATCTAGGCTTTCAGGTATTGATGTTTTTCCAGGATATTCACTTGTTGACTTAGAATATTCAAATGATGTAGTTTTCTGGTGAATACTAGAAAAATGCGGTCTTTTGACAATATCAGACAACAATGTATGGATGTTTGGGACCTCATTCTCTCCATTGAAATGTAAAACATTGTTTTAGGACCGGCCTGGCTCAGCTCCCAAATTATTGGTAAGGAGTGAAGTAGTTGGGCGTATCGACCGCTCGACTTATCTTGGGAGTCTCTTCAGTCCAGATGGGCTAGTGTCTGACAAAATGTGGTACGGAATTAGAAAGCCTGATTGACTTTTGCCAACGTGCACCACTTGTGGCGTAATCAAAGTATTTGTCCGTCAACCAAAAGACGAGTTTATTGCTCAGCAGTTCGCTCTGGTCTGTTTTATTAGCTTGTAACATGGTCATTGGGAATCTAGGATATTTGTAGGTTACTATTATTCAGTTATAGGTGTCTATTATTTATTCGTTCAGACGAAAATATTGGTACAAGGGCCACCAAAATTTATGTGCCACACAATAAAAACAAGATTGTGGAGGGATAGAGAAAGGATGGTCAGTAAAATAGAAAAATGGACAAAAGCGAATAGAAGTTAGTGTATGGGAGTCAAATGATAATAATAATTAGAGAAGCAGTTCATTTGGGAAAAATACAACCGGGAAGAATTTCAATTAAAGTTCCTCTCACTTATGTGAAGAAAGTAAAAACAAGTTAAAGCAGGTTTACCACTGGCTTCTATTCTGAGCTATTTCTAATAACATTTAAAGCCGGTGTTGCTCTATCTCTAGGACCCCAGCTAGGAAGTCGTTAAGGATCAACAGAAGCCAGTCCTGTACAGCTGTCATTCGAACTACGACAGCATGTCCGACACTGACCACATCACTTTTCCCAATCAGTCTCAGCGTCAGTAAATACTGTGCGACATTCTTAGTACATATCCAAGACACCAAAGTCGATGTTTGAAGATGGTGACACCAATTGAATTATCGTTTCTGCTTCAAAACATACATTGCCGGATCTCTTAATTACTAACAGCATCCACTTAGCTAGGTTTAGACTATTTAGTTGGTTTGCGCGTGATTATCGTAACTAATGATTGTTGAAATGTGATGTAACTGAGGTTCTTCCTCAAGAGTACAGATGTATCCACTCTTTAGATCCTGAGTTTTAAAACTACTTCATACCTTTTATTCCGAGAATCCATTCTTTTCTGAATTATATTTTCCGTCCAATCGTTTTTTACTATCCTTGATACTACTGGTACTTCTACTACGTTAGTAATCGCCTTGATAATTTAACCTCAGTAGTGTGGCGAGTTAGGTTGATGGATGTATGTTAGCGGAATATAGATTGGATTAAAGCACATTCCGTGCAGGATTGTTCAACCGTATTTTGATTTGGGGACATATCGAGTAAATTGATGTCCAAGAATATCAAGCAATAGGAATAGCTGGGTTGTAATAAGAGAAATTATACCAATGTATACGCTAGATTCTACACTAAATAAAACTGACTCAATGATAGTTTCAACTCAACGTTAAATTGGGTGATTGGAAAGTATTGTCAAAGTATCAGTTATTATATTTCGAATTGTTATTGCTCATGGTAATAACTTTGTTCATTTCCTTCAAGGAATATGTTAAATACAATTTTTTAAAATAAACTATATATACTATATCTTCCTAAACACATATTTTGTAAAATGTTTAAAATTGGTAAAATAATTACTACTACGGTGAAGGTGTGGAACTAATTTATTGACAATATTCTAAATGATTTTTTTTTGACAAACAATTTGTTCTTAAGATATTCGACGACTTTTACAGTTTTTATGTCTTATTAATTCAATAATATTGACCTTCTTTTTCTTCTTCATTCATTCAGATGTATTATTGTTAAAATAAGTAGGACTTATCAATATAACAGTATAAAGTAGTGACAATTGTGATGGGATTTCACATTTGTCTGGAATAGCTGACGTGTGTGTGTGTGTCATTTAGTGAATTTTTGTGCATGTATCAACATGGTACTGTTCTAGGAGATAAGATTATCGATAATGTTGAACGTTATTCACTTAAGATTCTCTCTAAGCAATATGATTGCTTTTAATTAGATGATCTTAACCTTGACATGATCAAGTTATTCCATATAGGATTTAAGATTTAAATATATGATCCACCTTTTTCTGTCTGGATTCTTGGGTATCTTCATTGGACAGGAAGTCCAGCTTAAAGCTAAGCAGTATGAACTGTTGCTTGGTAAATAAGTTAACTGAATTAACGTTCGATTGTTTGAAAACATAAACATTGGTATAAGGAGGCACCAAATATATATGCACCACACAAAATAATGAGAATGGGGAGAGAAAAAAAGGAAGGTAAAGAGCGTAAAAAAGAGGAACAATAACGACCAGATTAATGTAAGGTAGTGTAATAATAATAATGATAATAATAGGGGAAGCGGAAAGTTACAACCAGAAGAAATCTTTCAGTTAATGAAGATACAACCACTTTTTATGAAGAAAGTAAAAGAAGGTTACAACAGGATCGCCACTGGCTTCTATTCTGAGCCATACCTGATAACGTCTCTAGCCACTGTGTTGCACCGTCTCTCGGAACCCAACCAGGGAGTCGAGAAGGACCAACAGAAGCCAGCCCTTTGCAGCTTTCTTTCATACTACGACACCATGTCATGCACTGACCACCTCTCCGCTTTTTCCAACCAGTCCCAGAGTCGGCAAATAATGCACGACATGGAATCCTCTGGGACGACATTCATAGAACATATCCAAGCCACCGAAGTCGGTATTTCAAGATGGTGACACCAACTGTATTATTCTCTCTGCGCCCAAACACACGATGCCGAACCACTGCATTACTAACATGGTGTTGCCACTGGATGTCAGCAATCCTTCGGAGACAACGATGATCGAACACAGAGTCGTCTAAAGAGTTTCCACCATAGGCGAGCTGCTGTATAAGTTGAAAAATAAGGATACAAAAGGTGGAAATCGAAGAGAGTATATAAGTGACGTAGTATATAAAAAATAAAAATTAATGTTATCAAATGGATATGAGTTGTATGAATTGTAATTGAAACAACAATAGAATTTCTATCAAATATTTTCATTTCATTCTAATTTATGTGTGGGCTGTGATACTGCCCGGGTGCCCGAATCAAAGCAGGTGGTTTTCTTAAGGGGACCACACTCGGAGCCTTTGGCATAAAGGTCTGACCCACAAGGCAGTGGAGCATCTTGAGGAGATGCAGTCCCATGGTAGCCGGTGACCAACAATTGGTTCATACGCCATTTGTTCCTTCAGGATACTGGAGCCCATGTGCACCATTGGTTCGGAATCAGAGTTTCTCAACTCCCCTAAATGAACTCACAGTGTCCACCAGCCGGATTAAAGCGCCAGACATTGGATTACTTCATATTTTCCATGCTCCAATTTCATTTGTTTGTCCCAATATATTTCTGTTTATTTTTAGTTTACAACTACTTCTAACGTCATTACTTTACCTCCTTTGACTTTCTTGTAACTGTGAGATGATTGTGAGATTTGTAAAGGTTAGAACTGGTATATATTTGTATCAGATATGACTTCACGACTCGTATTTTGAATCGATTTATTTGAGTGACACGAGAACTGGTTAGGTGTTGGCTATCACAAACCAATTAATTGGATTTTTGAGTCGATAATTTATGGCATAATATGTATAACAGAATTAATTAAAAGTGGAGATAGTGAGCTACCCGGGCATATGCCACCTGATGTGGCTATTTCAAATTGCTCTTCATCACTATATCTCAGTCGAAGAATAGTATTTGAGTAAAATTCTTACAGGCTTATATCCGCCGTACCACGACTCCTCAGCCAACAGAGTTGAATTCTGTCTCTAGGTGGGGGAATATGATTACATTTGAACGGCGGCATCTGTTTTCTAGGATCTACCTAAGGGTAAAGGTTTGGTCAACAGATCCGTAGCCAGGATCGAAACTTGCTTGGTTTTATTAGATTACCTGTTCCCAAGCTGCATTTAAGCGTCTAGTGACACTTCATTTCTAATATAAAGAGTAACGTACGGTACATTATCTCTTTTTTACTTATGTAATATTTTCGTTTCGTTCTCTTTGTTTGCAGATTTGTCGCTCAGGCTCTTCAGCCGCTGAAAATAGGCAAAATATTTTTGAACGTAACAAAAAATCAGAGGTAAGTGTTATTTGTGAAAAAAGGTTGTCATGGTGGAAGCTTTTAATAATTAAAATGACAAAAAGTTCGATTTTTAAAGCTAATGACTAGAATGGTAATCGATAGATAAGCACAATAATATGATGTGACCGAGTAATGGCTGCTTACGGGCCGTATCACTTACTTAAAGCTTTGAATATTTTGATGTTAAGATCAAAATCATTAGCCAGATGAATAGGTTTTTCTGCAATGAAATAACGTGCTTCTGTACAGAAAACAAGCCCGAAATAAACATAATGAAATGTCGACTGGTCGGAGAAAATGAGCTTATAGTTTGCTCGTTTCCTGGTTAATCAAGACATGACTGTTAAGCCTAGTTTTTGGACTTGATGCCACCTCCGCCTACAATACTATCCTTCTTTGGCAACATTAGTTAGACAGTGGGACCGTTAACTTGTTTCATATATTTTTCAGTTTAATGAATACCGTGCCTTTCTTCCTTCGACCAACTGAAACCGTCTTACTGGCGCGAAATGTAGGCTAATTTTTTCTCAAAAATACCGAGGTAAACCTTTTCTTTTGAAGGTAATTATTTAGATTGGAAAATACGGCTCACATAAAAAAAGACATTTTCACATATTACTAAACCAAATACAACCTTGACACAATTGTTCCATCCCTAGTTTGTCTACTGTTCAACCCTCTTTTTGATTTTGCTTACATTGAAAATCGATAAGTCTTGCGGGAGTTGTTTTATTTCTTACAATCTTCTTCTCCACAATGATCTTTTGATTGAGTTGAAAAAAAATCCCACAACTATCAAGATAATAAAATATGTTAAATATTTAGTTCTCATGTAGGTTTTACAACATGTGACGAAACATTTATTAAATTGTTACCAAAGTAATAAGCAGATATATAACCATATTTTTCAACCAGAAAAAATAAATGTTTCAATAACTCTATATTCAATTCACCTGGTTTTGAGTTTCCACATTGAATGATGGTAAATCAATTGATGAGGTTGTGAATCTTCATCGACTAATATGGTTCGATCACGTGTTACGTATGCCTGAACACCGACTAGCACGACGCGCAATACTGATGAATGCTGGGGACGGTTGAAAGAATGTTAGAGGGTGGCCAAACCACAACGTGGCATTAGTCCTTGAAGTCACTAACTTCTAGTGTTAGCCAGTTTGGTAGATGCAGATTACTTGGTTGGGGTCCACGTGACTATCGTAATCAATAGTTGGAGACTCTAGGTGACATGGCTCAGAATCGATCACAGTGGCGTCGGTGTATACATTCTCTGTCTTCCTTTAACCTCTGAGATTAAAATTGTTTTATATCTATCTTTCTACGAACTAATCCCTTCTTCCTGTATTATATCCTCATATGCAATCTCTATTTTACATTTCTACCATTGAATTAACTGCTTCTATGAATTTTGTGTTCATCTTTTTGTGCTAATGAAGCGTGTCGACTTGGACCGATACATATATGTACCTGACCCTATATTGTAGCTGATTGTCTGACACTGTTCTCATAATGGTTGCTAAAAATTTTGCACTACTGTTTCATTCTCTGCTTTCATAATAGAATTTCTATCATAATATCTCTTTGACTGAAAGTAACGATATCTCCCATAGATAGTTCATTGATTAGTTTTTTCTTCATTGAGTTATATTTGTATATAACAATATTGAACTGTGTATTTGTCAGCTCTTTTAATGATTGTCCAAAATCTATAGCCCTTGTTTTCGATGGTTGTTAGTTCTCACCTCCACTTTCATTGTTAGAATAAAACTTATCATTCTAAAACATAAAACCATTTAATTCAATAATAATAATAGTAATAACGCTTGTGAATGTGTATTTAATTGGGAATAGTCCAGTCATGTTTTAGACTTATGAAGTTGACACATTTCCAATTAGTCAAGTATCGTATTAACTAATGTTTTGCGAAGTTTATTGACACCAATTTAAGTGCTCAAAAATGAAATAGATTTAGCGTGATTCATATTTACAACCTAACAATTAAGAATCAAATGATTGAATCAATTTACTACGCTTAAATTTATAACTAAATAAAATGACTTTTAAACTTCTTTTTTTTTTTAGCGTTTAACCCAATTACTTCGTAGTCGTAATCCAGCTGATCTACGTGAAGCGAATGCGCTTATCAAGAGTATAGTTGAAGAAGTGAGTTCGTTGATATGAATAGTCTACTTATTTTAATTTCACTGTATTAAAAGAAAGATGGGTATTTCGATATTTGGAATAAGATGATACCATTCCATTCACTTAATATATGAATGTAAATCATTTGAATGGAGGTTTTGATAATATTGGTAAAGCCTCATATACATAACTCATGTGATACCAACTTGTTAACCGGTTTCTAAACTCGAAAATTTACGATTATCAAAAGCTGAACAATTCTAGAAGGTAGACTACCTGGTTGGGGACCACGAGATGATAGCAACCGATGGTTAGAGACCCTGAATGACATGGTTCAAAATCGTTTGCAATGGCGCAGGTGCATCCACTCTTTGTGTTCTCCCAAATTCTAATCTTCTGAATTCTTCATGTCCCTTTTTTCCTCTTTCCAAATTTATTTCACTGGATTATACTCTTTAAATAACATCTCCAAACCCTAATCTTCCCGATTACTGCTTATACTCTTGCTACCTCTACCACTACGGGATTTGAATCGACAACTGTATCTCTGTGCTAAGGTGGTGTGGCAACTCGAACTGATGTACGTACGTACGAAGTTCTACGTTGTTACTGACTGACTGACTGACTGACTGACTGACTGACTGACTGACTGACTGACTGACTGACTGACTGACTGACTGACTGACTGACTGACTGACTGACTGACTGACTGACTGACTGACTGACTGACTGACTGACTGACTGACTGACTGACTGACTGACTGACTGACTGACTGACTGACTGACTGACTGACTGACTGACTGACTGACTGAGAAGGTAGTCTGCCAAGCTTGACTCTCATGATTGTTTTTAATACAGAACCATGCCACATAAAACCTTCAACACAGATTACAGCTATTGCTCAAAACTGAAATAGGATACCTAAATGTACTGACACATGGCTTAGACCCTTAATTAATGATTTGCTGAACTCATGTCGTATCCTAGTTTCACCTCTTTTATCCTTTTCTGAACCTACTTCTGTGGTAGACAGTACTGTAATTTAGGAGTAACGCGGTAGTTATATATACATGTATATTGAATCCTTACTTAATATAATTTTTTATTGAGTACATTATTGTTGACTCTGTCTGATCTGTATGTAATATCATCATCACTTATGTCTAGTAGCCGGGTCAAAGTTATTTATCCTAGTTACGATTCAAAATAGTTCTTATGTGACAATTTGTAACAATTTACATCATATATCCTTATTAGTTCAAATAAAAATGAATTTGAAGATTGATCTATAAATTTTTGCTTCGTTAAAGTGATGATGTTTCTTGTTACTTGTCGTACAACTACTTTTAATCGATTAAATCACTCAAATAGTGTATGATCGAGTAATACAAGATAACTCAGTGATCAAGATAACTAGTGATGTTACACTGATCGGATTTAACCCGTAACATTTAGTGATTTAAATATCGAAGATCAGTTATTATTTATACTAATATCTATGAAATAGGGGGCCTGTACCAAACCACAATCTTTTATCCAGTCCTGTGTTGATAATGACTGACTAATTAATAAATTATGTAAGTAAACAGTTTGTTGTGTAATATAATTGATCTTTTCAGGAATTTCTCATTGCTCTAACGAACCGTGCATATTTTCTATTGTCGACGTTCATTAACTACTCATAAATTAAATCAGTAGGCAAATAGTGTTTTCTTATTTTGTGGAACTAATTTACATTAATTTCACCGTTTGTTGAAAGTATCTGTTTATTTATTTATGTGTCTATTACACACTTATTTTAAAGGATCAAGTACGTATGGAAAAAGCGAGCCAGAGAACTAGTGAAATGGAAGCTTTAAGGAACAATACAATATTATTAGAAGAAATGATTGGGACATATTTATTAGGTGAAAGTACTGAGGCTGAATTAGAATTGATGAGTGTAAGTTATTAATCTATGTGTTTTTTTTACTTATGCACTTTCATAGTACACCAATTATAAATTCATTGAATGTATTTGAAGAAACGACTGATTATTTCATGACCGTTGGCTAGAATAATATCTTCCTAAAGGTGGAATGAGTAGTTAATTTGAAGTTTACTTAGACCCTTTATCGGTTGTTTCTTTGTTTATTCCCTACCCATTAAAAACTGTATGGAAATAGATGATGATCATCGTAAATTGACTGAGATGATCTAGATCTATGTTATAAGTGCACAGCTACCTCTTATCTTGATGTTTCATAATAGCTAGATTATGGGTAGTCGTATATAGAGTAATATAATGTAACCCAGTAGACAACTGCAGAGTTATGTGGTTGGTTTTGAGATGCACGTTTAGCCTAAAAGCCAGTGACTTTATCGGTTGCCTATAGAGAATTTGATCAAGTGATTTTCAATATTGTGATTAAATGGTTAAAATTTGATTGTTTTAACATTTTTCCCACTGCTCTACAAATCAACTGAAATAAGACTAACATTTTCCAAATAAAAACATGGTTTCAGTCTGTGAACTTGTTAACCGTTAGTCTGGAATGTATGGAAAAGTGCAGACTTCGTCTGATACTCAAAAAACTTGAAATAGTAGTTGTTGTTACACAAATCTTGTTTTCCTTTACTTTGTTTTGCTTACTCGTGTTACCCATTGTGAAACATAGGTCACCGACCAGTATTCTCCAACCAACACTTTCCTTGGCTATCTTTTCTAGTTTTTGTCAATTGCTGTTCATTCTTTTGATGTCTGTTTCTAATTTCCGAGGCAATATATCCTTTGATTTGTCATTTTTGCTTTTGCCTTCAGGATTCTAAATTTGGGCTTGCCTCGTGATGCAGTTTGATTATATCTTTATTGTGTCCTGTCCACTTTCAACGTCTTTTCCTAATTTCCTCTTCAGCTGAAAGCTGGTTTTCTCTCTCCAACAATAGACTGTTGCTGATGGTATCCGGTCAACGGACATTCAGTATCTTGCCTAGAAATTTCTTAAAAATACTTGTCTTTTTTGATGATGGTGTGGTAGTCGTTCAAGTTTCTTCTCCGCACAATAGAACTGTCTTGACGTTTTTATTAAAGATTGTGACTTTGATATTGGTTGATAGTTATTTCGAGTTCCATATGTTGTTGAACTGTAGGAATTCTGTCCTTGCATTACAAATCCTTGCATTCACATTTGCATCAGATCTTCCTCGTCCATAGATGATAATGACCAGGTACATGAAATTTTCAACCTTTTCCAGAGCTTCTCCATCAACTGTGATTGGGTTAGTGCTCGTTGTGTTGTATTTGAAGATCTTGCTTTTTCCCTTGTCGAGACCTACTGCTGCAGATAGAAGCTGCTGCTACACTGGCTGTCTTCATGTGCATTTGTTTATGTGTATGGATAGAAGAGCTCGGCCACTTGCAAACTCCAAATTGTTTAGTTGTGTCCAACCTGTCCATTGTATTACATACTTCCCTTGAGATGTCGAGGTTTTCATAATCCAGTCAACTACTAGAAGAATGAGAGAGAGAAAACAGCCTTGTTTGACTCCGGTTCTTACTTGGAATGTGTCTGTCAGCTGTTCTTTATGCACCACTTTGAGTATATTCGGTCATAAGAATTCCTTATCATATTAACGATCTTCCCAGTTATAGTATATTGTCGAAGAACTCTCTTTAGGGTTATTGTATCCACACTGTCAAACACCTCACAGGCAATGAAGTTAATGTATAGTTACGAGTTCCATTTAATCGGACATTTAACGACTACCCGTGGTGGCGTGATTTTATCGGCGCATAATCGATCCTCATGAAATTTAGCTCATTGATCTCGAAGCTGGGCGTCTACCTAATGTTTCATTCTTTTCACCAACGCTCTGTTGTGAATGTTTCCTATCACTGATAGTAATGGGGTGCCTCTGTAGTCAGTACACTTGCTCCGATCTCCTTTCTTTATTATCTTGGTGAGGTATCCTTCTTTCCAGTTTACCGGCACTTGTTCTTCCTCCCAAATCCTCCTAAATAGAACGTGGAGCATATTTGCCGTTGCTTCTATGTATAACTTCATTGCTTCAGCTACTATATTGTCAGGTCCTTCTACTTTTCCACTTTTGATCTGCCTGATAGCCATCCTGATTCCTGCTGTCGTAGGCGGAGTGACATCTATAGGAAGATCTCTGTGTGCTGCTACAATGTCCGGTGGGTTCAATGTAGCTAGCCATCATCCATCTCCGTATAGAATGCTTGTGAATTAATGGGAACATCGAAGAAATCCTCCTAGGACAGATATATGCCAGAAAAGACTGGTTAATCGCAGTCCTATACATCAATGTGAAGATCCAAACAACTGACATATATGTATTAACTAGAATCTTGATTATTCTTACCATTAAAACTAGTACACATGTATTCATACTATTTGTACTTTTCACCCTGTTAAGTATAGTTAAACAATCTATTTCTAATTGAAAACTATTATTTACTTATATTTATGTTATTCTATTAGTCTATTAACTAGAATTCAATCTATAACATCTACTTCTATCTAAGCAATCATTAGAGATATTATTTAATACTACAGTGAATTGTATTAGCATGCAATTCTTTCGTAATTGATCCTTAGGTTTTCTCTCTCTCTCTCACACACACACGTACATATACATCATTATCGTTATTTTTAATTCTTATACAGGAATTGACACAGAATATACGTAGAGCACGTCCATTATTATATAGTTTCTCTTTAACACATGAAGAACAAGATATTGAAACATTGAGTAAGTTTATTTTCTCTTTTTCTTCTTCTTCAAATTATAGAGATTGAAATTTTTTTCTGAGGAATAAATAATGATTGCTGTATATTCTATCAAATTTTAAGTTGTATTTAGGAAATAGTTTTACATTCATATGAATTATTGGGTCGTTAACTCATCTAAGTCTAGTGAGTTGATGCCCTTGAATGCCCTGGTACAGCCGAAAGTGGGGAGAGTGAGCTCTCTCTCGAAATGCTCTCACATGGCCACATGCCTACAACCACTGTCAGGAAAGTCATACTCAATGCTTTCTCGTACCACGAGTGTTTTTTACAAAATTGAGAAGATGAGAAGCAAATGTCCGGTGCTTTAACCGGGTTGGTGGATATGGTGGATTCACCTAAGGGAGCTGGAACCAGTGGTGCACATGGGCTCCATAATCCTGAGGGAACAAATAGTGTATGACCCAATCGTTAATCACCGGCTATCATGAGACTGCATCTCCTGACGTTTTTCCACTGCCTTGTGGATTAGACCTTTAGGTCAAAGGCTTCGAGTGTGGTCCCCTTAAGAAAACCACCTGCTTTGATTTGGGCACCTGGGTAGTATCCCAGCCCACACACAAATCGAATGATTTGTGTGGCGCATATCTATTTGGTGTCTCCTTGTACCAATGTTTATGTGTTTAAATAAATAGATTTGTTGAGTTGATGAGTTAATACACATCATAAAGTATGTATATATATCCCTGGAGTTTTTGCCGATGATGTCGTTCAGAGGAACAATGAAAGCTCCACAACCAAACCATCCAGTTCAGAGAACCAAACTCCATCAAAGTATCTACAAGTTTCCAATTTAATTTCGTACTACAAGTTATTATGGCAATACTGTCGGGTTAGTTAAACCAAAGTAGACGAACCATAGTTCTAATATGTAATTCAATTGATTAAAAACTGATTAGGTGATTAGATAATAATGCTTAAAACATTCAGTTATCATTTTGATAATTGTCGTTTCATTTAGATCACAATTAGATGATGAACAACTAGTGGGTATATCTGATACAACGGTTGGAATAAAATATTTTTGTCACCACAATATACTACGCCACTATTATAATGCGACTATAACTCAATAAGACTGGTTTAAGTGACCGAGTTTATACTATCAAAAGATTGGATACTTGAAAGATCCTTTATACAGAGAATAGATTAGGTTATATCAGATACCCGATTCACGACCAAAATAAAGAACCACCATATGGACTAGATAATACTTTATTCCACACAATCACAAGCAGTCACTCTCAGTAATTCCGGAATAGAAGTCAACAAGAGGAAAGGAAATCACATATTTAATCGTCAGTAAGCTACCTGACTGTTTATCCATATTCAGTAACCAATTATATTTATTTTTATTAACACATATCAATTCTTGTAACTCATATAGGCTCCTTTTAAGCTCTTCCATCTGATATCATAACTGTATGTTCAAAGAATTGATCGATGATTTGTCCTTATTTGATAAAGGTTTATTTTCCACAACATTTTATGATTATTACTAACTACTTCTGTTAGTATTTCTCAGAATTTCTGATCAGTTTACAATAGTTTCTGTGACCTACTAGTTAAAAGTTGAATAAATATTGCATTACAATCTATAGTCTCAATTCAACTGGTTAATTTATGCTTACCTGCTCCGATTCGGGCGCCCGGGCAGTATTCCAGCCTTCACACAAATTAAATGATGAAGTGTCGCACATGTATATTTGGTGCCTTTCTGTACCAATGTTTATGTGGTTAAAAAAATAAGTAAACAATAATTTTAATAGTTGAGATCATGAGTTAATTGAAGCTAGACCACTATGGAAACCAATAGATCGTGGGTTAAAGTCTCGCGAGGCAGGATCGTTGATGCGCACTGCTGAGGAGTCTCACATCAAGACGAAACGGCTGTTCAGGTTTTTCATGATGTTCTAGCTTCAATTGTTTCACTGGACTATACTCCTTGAATAACATATTCAAACCTTAATCTTTCCACTTACTGCTTAGACTCTTATTACCTCTATCACTACGAGATTTGAATCGACAACTGCATCTCTGTGCTAATGTGGCATGACAACTCGAACTGATGTACGTACGTACGAAGTTCTACGTTGTTACTGACTGACTGACTGACTGAGAAATAATTAGTTATCAGTCTTAATAATGGTATATGTATTTTTACATTTATATCTTTTTTTTCTCGGTTATAAATTTTTTTTTAGCTGAAATTGGTCAAATATGTGACAAAGCTAGTGAAGTTTTAGCCAATTATGAACAAAAAATAGCCAAACAAAAGTCATTATCTTCATCAAAATCATCATCTATAACTAAGGATAATTCTTCTTCTCAATTGTCATCATCTAATCATATTACTGATCTTTTAACACAAGATTTAATGAATTTAGGCTTATGTGATGATTCAATCACACCTATCCCATCGTCTAATGCTAATCTATACTCTCCAGATGTTTTATTATTGAATACTTCAAATTCATTTCTTGTTAATCATCTTCATAATTCGTCATGTAATCAAGTATCGCGTCCAATTGAACCAAAATATTCATTAAACAGTAGTAATAATAATAGTAACAATTTTATTGGTAACAATCCTGGTATTAGGAAAAAATCAAACTATGATGACTTACAGGATATTTTTTCCACAAATGCTACTACTACTACTACGACTTCTGGGTCAACAGGTAAGTCTCTTTAATATTTTTACTCTTTTTAGTATCCTTTTTATTTCGAATAGATTAATCAGGTAGTGAAGTTTTATTCATTGAGAGGTGGCTGAGGTTTGTGTTATTTATGCTCAACCGCCTCGATGCGCTATATTTTAATGGTGTCGGAGTAGGTCGGAAGAAAGCTAGTGGGGGTCAAATTAAAGCATCAGTTCATAAAATCTGTTGGACTGAGGCATGTATGTGGGTAGTGACTACCGTGTTGGGATCCACATGGTTATAATAATCATTGTTTGGAGATTTTGTGTGAGGTCGATTAGAATCTATCATAATTTTGCAGATGTTTCTAATGCTCTCAAATAGCCACATGCATACAACCACTGCCACGGAAGTCCTACTCATTGCCTTCTCGTGGCGGGGGTGTTTACGAAATTGAGAGGACGAAAAACGAATGTCCGGTGCTTTAACCGGTGGTGGGTACGGAGGATCCATCCTGGGAAGTAAGAAAACCTTGATTCTAAACCAATGGTGTACATGGGCTCCAGTATTCTGAAGGAATAAATGGTGTATGAACCAATCGTTGTTCACCGGCTATTATGGGACTGCATCTCCTGATGTCGTTCCACTGTCATGTGGATCAAACCATTAGGTTGAAAGCTCCGAGTGTGGCCACCTAAGAAAACCACCTCTCACACAAATCGAATGGTTTATGTGGAGCATATCTATTTGGTGCCTCCTTGTACCAATGTTTATATGTTTAAATAAATAAAAATAAGGAACACTGTGAAAGGGTTAATAATTTACTGCGAAACTATTTTAATTGAATAGTACTATGCTATGTACCAACAACTGTTATTATTATTATCATTATTATTATTATTATTGACAACAATATAATTGCAGTATTCAGTTACTCATGTTAGTTGTAAAATTTCGATCTTATGAAACTTAGAAATTGTTTTCATCCAGTAAGTTATTGATATTAAGCAGTTGTAAATGGTACTTGTTTAAATGTATTTAAATTCGAACTATTAATCATATAGAAAAGATTATATTCATGATATGTTGTTGGTTTGTTAGGTGGTGGAACATAGTGACCAGAAAACCTTTGAACTAGGTTTCATGCTAGTTAGCACTCATTAAATAGACTTACCTGGAATATTAAGGAGGCTAACTCTCCGGGTGGAATTCGAACCTATATCTCTAAGATACAGTTTGAGGCATTACCACTGAGCGACAAAGTTCCTATGGGACTAAGATGTTATTGATTTGTTTTTGGTGTATCATAAATTATCATCTATCCTCTTTTCTCTATTCCACTAGTCGAATGATATCAGTTACTATTTCAGTCATAACAGCTAGCTATGCATATGGGATTACATGGGACCTGACATAAACCGGTTGTAAATGAAGTTGTTCTTCATTGTCAAAAACCATAATATATGATATTTTTGTACCGTAACATTTTTGGTTATTCTATCCATTGGAAACACTTTCGGGCATGTCGGGAATTGAGTTGCAAGTTTTGTGCTTTAGAGTATTATATGAGGACGAGATGGATATCTAATTCTTACTGGTTTCTAATGCGTATCACTTTTTTATATTGATAATATTCAAATGGAATGATGTTTCATAATTTCATTTGCTAATTATTATTTCAATGAACTATACTACTACTAACACTAATAAGAATTCTTAATCTTTACTTTTCTCTTTCCTCTCAGTACTCTCTACTTCGTCAACGCTTTACCCATCAATATTCAGTTCTGTAGACTCCAAAACTTCGAAACAATCCTTGTCTCCTGAACATGGATCTTCTGTAAATTCCAATCCCAACGTCTTCAGTGAACTAGATTGTTTGAGTCGTCAAATGCTTAACTTATCAAAGTAAGTGTTGCTCGTTGCGTTTTTATCTTTTTGTAGAAATCCTTTTTTATTATTTCCTGAATGATGACCATTCATGTGTAAATGGATGGTGATGTACTACAAAGCGACAAAGAGCCTGAATCAAAATTTTCCGAACAAACAATTGATGAATAAATATTGTCACCGTACATTGAGAGAAGTCTTTGTATGATTTGTGGTAATGCAACTCTTTTTGCACTGACCTCTTTCATCAAAGCAAACATCACCTATTCATAGTTAATCCTTTATTTAGCGATCTGATTTTCATGTTATTGTAATTCTAATGATCATGTATTTCTATTTTGGTGATCCGTAATCTTTTGAATATTTCATGGAAGATTATTAGAGTATTTGCAATGATTTACTTTTTCGCCAATTACAAAGTGTTATTTCGAGAATGACATTTATCGATGTCGAATATGACCTTAGGAAGCAAATTTATCAAGCAGTTTAACTGGTTCAATTGCGTTTGTAGTCTCATCAGCTCTGATTCTTTGGGGGTTTGGTCGGATCTGTTAGCATGGACAAAAAAAGCTTGTTCGGTTTTTAAAAAAACTAATCCACATGTGATTCGGGTTAAATGTCGATCTACTAATAAATATGAGAATAAACTGAAGAATAGTTTGATTTGTACTACTTTAAGATATTTAAGAGCAGGAAGACTGAGTAAACTGTTGGTATTCGTATGCTCATGTCTTCCAAGTAGTGTTTGCATAAACTGTGCTACTACTACTCTACGCAGTATCGAGTTGAGAACTTTCAGACTTCACTGTGTGCATGATATATCAAGATCGCTGAGTCAATCCATATACATATATCCATTCAATTGATGATGTGTAGCACAAAGATCATCGAATAAGATTGATAATAAGTGTCCTTTGGCTATCAATGTTTCTGTAACTAATATCAATCGATGATAATTAACTGTTTCCAAATCACAAATCTCTTCAATACGAACGTCAAGAAAGTTCTACTGTACGAAGCTGAAACTTGGAGAACTACTACCACAACCATCATCAAGAAGGTACAAGTATTTATAAATAGTTGTCTACGCAAGATACATCCATTGGCTAGATACCATCAGCAACAGCCTAATGTGGGAGAGAACAAACCAACTTCGAACTAATGAGGAGATTAGGAAAAACGATGGATAAGACATACATAACGAAAATCACTAAACCGCATCACGAGGCAAGTCCTAACTTGGAATCATGAAGGGAAGCGGAAAAGTGGAAGGCAAAAGAACATATTAGGTAGGGAAATAGAAGCAGATATGAAAAAGATGAATAATAATTGGAAAGAGCTGGAAAGGATTGCCTAGGACAGGGTTAGATGGAGAGTGATTGTGGATAGCCTATGCTCCTCCACGAAGAGTAATAGGCGTAAGTAATTAAATCACAAATCATTTCGGAAAAAATAATATATTTGCATGATGGATTTTTTTTATGTAGTTTTAATATTCTATTTACGTTTCTTTCATATCTACATAGAACAAATGCTTTGACAGATACAAATCTATCAATATTACTAGCAAATAATTCTCCAAGTAAAATAAAACCCGATGGTGATGATGATGATAACACATCCCTATGTAATAATGACGTAGTTGTAAGCATGAATAACACTTCCACCAGTAATAATCACAAAGTGGAAGAAGTAACACCATCAGAAGTTACAACACAAAGTGTAATTGATCTTAAATCATTTGATATTCAACTTTCTTCTGTTCAACCTCATTCAATACATAAAACACCATTGACACTTTATCCAACTGATATATCACAAGAGAATGACAGTAATGATAATACTTATAACATACAATTAACACTACATTATGCTAATAATAAACCACATCCTGAAGTGATGGTTTTTGTTGCTGTTATATCTAGTCGAAATGTTTTACCCATTACTGAAATCAATGTTAGATTTGGTGTTGAAAAGGTGAGATTATTAATAAACATTATTATTATTATTATTGTTATTATTATTATTATTATTATTGTTATTGTCCGACGCTTTAACCGGGTTGGTCGATATGGAGTATCCACCTAAGGGAGTTGGAAAACCCTGATTTCAAACCAATGATGTACATGAGCTCCAGGATCCTAAGGAAATAAATGACGTATGAACTAATCGTTGGGACTGCATTTCTTGACGTTGCTCCACTGCTTTGTGGATTAGGCTTTTAGATCAAAGGCTCCGAGTGTGGCCTCCTAAGAAAACCACCCACTTCGGTCTGGGCACCCGATCAGTATCCCAGCCCTCATATAAACCGAATGATTTATGTGGCGCATATCTATTTGGTATCTCCTTGTACCAATGTTTATGTTTTTAAATAAATAAATGATTAAATAGTAATTATTGTTTATAATTTGTATGCAACATTTCATGTTCACTGTTAGTCTTATAGTTAGTATTGATATCTGATGAAGAAGATTTATAACTTCATCTAAACAATTTTAGGTATGTTGTATCATATGAAGCAGATAGTTGAATGACTGGACAATATTCACTCTTGTTTTTAAACAAACAAACAAACTCAATTCTACCTATAATAAGCTCTCATGTTGTTCAAAACAACAATGAACTATCCAGTTATCCAGTTCAGGAAATTCAACACTATCGAATTTGATAACCTTAACATATCACCACTTTTACTTTATCTCTTGTTCATTTGTTTCTTTTATTTAAAGGTTACTATGTGAATTGAATGAAAAAATTCGTTGATTGCTAACTAAATCAGTCAATCAAAATTACCATTTTATGAATACACTTTAACTCATACTTAAAATAACAGTGCCTTTGACCTAAAGGTTTGATCCACAAGGCAGTGGAGCGTCATAAGGAGATGCAGTCCCATGGTGATCTACGATTGGTTCATACGCCATTTGTCCCTACAGGATACTGGAGTCCATGTACACCATTAGTTTGGAATCAGGGTTTTCCAAATCCTCTAGGTGGACTCTCCGTGTCCACCAACCCGGTTAAAGCACCGGACATTCGTTTTTCGTCCTCTCAAGTTCGTAAACAACCTCTGTGATGCGAGAAGGCAAGGAGTAGGACTTCCCTGGCAGTGGTTGTATGCATGTGGCCATGTTAGAGCATTTGGAGAGGAAGAGCTGACTCTCCCCACTCTCAGCTGTACCAGGGCATTTGGGGGGGCATGAATATGAATATATTGGCCTTTAAATTGAAACTAGTGATTAGAGACTGATCCATCGCTCTCATAATGCTTACGAAAAAGAATGTAAGTTGTTCACATCAAACAACATCAGATGATAGTATACTTGAACCCCAAATACACTGGTACGCCTGAGTGTGAGGAGATTCCTCTCTCTCTTTTGAAATGCTCTCACATGGCCTCGCGTATACAGTTACTGCCAAGGATATCCTATTCAATGTCTTCTCGCGACAGATGTTGTTTACGAAATTGAGAGGACGGAAAGCAAATGTTTGGCACTGAAACCGGGCTGATTGCCACAGAGGATCTACCCTAGACAAGTTAGGAAACCCCGACTCTAAATCAACAGTGCACATAGACTCCAGGACTCTGAGGGAACTAATGGCATATGAATCTATTGTTGGTCATTGGCTACCATGTGACTGCATCTCCTAACGTTGCTCCACTGTCTTGTGGATAAGATTTCTAGGTCAAATAATCAAGGAATCGCCCCCTAAAAAACCACCTGTTTCTGTTTGGGCGCCTGCACAGTATTTCAGCCCAAACAAAAATTCGATAATTTGTGTGATGCATCTATATTTTGTAAATGTTTGCACTAATGTTTGTGTTTAAATAAATAAATAAATACTTAAACCTGTTGATATCTCATGTAAGGTAAACTGGAATACTAGGAACAGTCCAAAAAAAATGTGACATCAATTCATGAAATTACTGACTGTCGAATGGAGTCGTACTGGAAGATATAAACATATCCTGTTTATGGTGTCAGCATGATGGCCAGATTCAATGATGGAAAATTATTAGTAACAATTTGTGTCACACGCACGTAACAACTGTTTTCTCGGTTTCTGACTATGATGTTTATGACTATGATGATTTATATTTTAAAAGCCAGTTATGTCTTGTTTTCTTTGATTAGCTATTCTGTTAATTTGATATCAGGATATTTTACGATGATTTTATATGTTTACGTTTTACATCCTTGTTAGACATGATATGACTGAGAATCGATCACAATGACGTCGGTGTATACACTCTCTATGGGATTAAAATTGCTTCATACCTTTCTTTCTACGAACTAATTCTTTCTTCCTGTACTATATCCTTCTATGCAATCTTTCTTTTATATATTATCACCTCTGATTCAACTACTTCTATGAATCCGGTGTTCATCTTGTTGTGTTTATTAGGTATGGCAACTTGGACCGATGTATATATGTGCCTGGTCCTACGTTGTAGCTGACTGACAGACTGACTATACTCGCCTATAATGTTTATTAAACCTTCGAAAAAGGTGTATTGTTTTCGTATAAATTTCACAAAAAACACAAGTAAATGTATGTCAAAAATAAAAATGCGATTTATCATCGTTCACCAATACACACAGTATTTTAAAAAACATTCGACTTTCAACCACTAAGTTTTAGGTTCGAACCATGTCTCACTCACTTGAGTTTAAGCAATCAAGTAATATCATTACCTCTCATACTTCTAGTGTGGCTAATATATAAGTACGTGTTGAATAAACTAATCTAACTTGACACATGTGTACAAATATACAATGGGTAAGTACACTACTACTGTGGTGTATGCTATTGATGTCGATAGATATAAGTAGTATATATCATCAATTGAAAGTAAAAAGCCTAGTTGCCGAGAGTTAAGAAGGTCGAAGGAAAGAGAACGAGAACAGAGAATGATTACTATGGAAACTGTTGGGTCGGCTTTCCAAGAACTGCAACGGAGCCGAAGAGTCCTAGCCAATCAGAGCATGATGGTGCTTTCTAGAATGTCAACGTAGCGTGCTACTATTGGTCAGTAGCATAATATGTCTTTTAACGGATTAGCCAAAATGTGATGTTGATTTAACAAATGTTAACATCTATAAATACCCGTGTTTTTCTGTACAAAAATGAACCCTTTGGGTTAAAGTGTTTTCGGTTATTTTGCGCCTTTTATCTTGAGTCCAGGTCTCTGCGTAGTTCTAGCTTGAGGGTTACCAGAATAGCTGAGGAACTGAATAAAGCGTTCAAATTAAATAGACTTATCAGAAACAAAGAAGCAATGAAGTCTAGGACGATTAATTGACATTTTGTAGATGAAGTATTTATGGTATGGTTCTTAGATTTTACTAAAACATTGATCAAGTCAATTGAAATCGAATGATTTTTGCACTGTATTTCAAGTACATTGTTTTCTATAGTTTCAATTGAAAATTTGCTATGCTAAGTTGAACAAATAGATACTAACTTGTATTGATTCTATTTACTCTTTTAGCCTTTTAAAATACGACAACTTATTGCATCTGGACAAAATCTCCCATCTTATACAACATTTCTACCACCTGCATCAATTAGTCAAGTATTATTAATTTATAATCCATCTAAATTAGTAAGTTAATCATTGATATATTTCTTTGAGAAAAAGTTAATTTTCTACGGGATGGGTTAGCTAACCCCCTATACCCAATCATCTTCTTTTATCCGGGTTTGCGACCGGCAGTCACCCCAGAGGGTCTCCAGGTGGAGTTTTTGAGAAAAAGTGCAATTTGATATATATATATCTATGTCCATATATATCGACGATTCTGATATCATGTTGGATGTTAATAATCTTTTGGTGGTGTTTTGTTCTCTGAGCTGATGTTTGGTCGTGGAGCTTTCATCGTTCTTCTGAACGACATCAGCACAAACTTCAGAGAACAAAACACCACCAAAATCATCCCCTGAGCTACAAATCTTCTCCTCTCAAATCATATGAGTTAATAATCTTTTATGGAACCGTTTAATACTAAGTTTAGCCATTAATAGGCTTTGATTATAACAGTTAATGACAATGATGATCATTATAACCCTGATAATACAATAAATCGAACCGGTATACTTTTATTCAATCACTTGGTGTAACACGACTGAAAAAATCTTTTGTATTGAATAATCAATTCTTCCAATTACTAGACGATGGATTTCGTAAATGCGTTATTCACTTTTTCCTTTAAATACTCATTGAGCAATCTTAAACAAAGCTTGTAAAGATATAAATTTATCTCTATACTCCAAGTGTAGAATCTACACTAAAGGTTCTAACTAAAGTATACATGAAATGTAGTTAGGAGAGGCCAAACTACAACGTGGCATCAATCCTTAAAGTCACTAAGTTCTACTCTTAGCCATGTTGGTAGATGCAGACTATCGTAATCAATAGTTGGAGACTCTGGATGACATGGCTCAGAATCGATCATAGTGGCGTTATTCTCTGTCTTCCCTTAAACTCGGAGATTAAAATCGCTTTATATCTTTCTTTCTACGAACTAATTCTTTCCTCCTGTACTATGGCCATATATGCAATCTTTCTTTTATATATTACTACCATTGAAGTAACTACTTCTATGAATTTGGTGTTCATCTTGTTGTGTTAATGAGGTATGGCAACTTGGACCGATGCATATATGTGCCTGGTCCTACGTTGTGGCTGACTGACTGATACCATGATATTAAAACATGATGAAACTAGTTGTTAAATGTAATCCATTTAAAGTTGTATAATTGATAAGTTAAATCACATTAGTCTGGTCGTTAGACGAATGTTTCATTCGTTTAAAATTTAGCAAATCCATTTCTGAGTATTGTTGGTTGTCTTTGAGATGGTGGAGAAGAATGAACTGGAAAGCACTTACAAACTGACCAACAACGTTTTAAATGACATCAATTTCACAATGTAACAGGACCCAAACAACCAACTAGCATTCTTGGATATGTTAATCACTAGGACCGACACAGGGAAACTGGAAACTCAAGTATATAGGAAACTGACCCATACAGATCAAATTCTCAACTACAACAGCGACAACCCAAGAGCTCGGAAAATCAACTGCGTACACACATTGTTCAAGAGGGCGAGAACACACTGGCAGCACGAAAAAATGAAGAGAAACACCTGAAGGACATATTTTAAAAGAACGGCTACCCAATCAACTTCATGAAAAAACACCAACCGCACGCAGCATCAGAACCCAAGTCAAACAGAGAAATCAACAAAAGGATCACCCTACCGTACATACAAGGAATATCAGAAACCGCAACGAGACTGCTGAAAACCTTCGGGATAGGTGTGGCACACAAACCGACAAAATCACTACAATCAATCCTATGCAAACCAAAGGATGAAATAACAAAGGAAAACAAATCAAACATCATCTACAAAATAAATTGTACCAACTGCGACAAACACTACATCGAACAAAGCGGACGCCCCCTCCACCTTCGCCTGCATGAACATCAATTAGCAGTCAAACGCCATGATATTCCCTCACTTATATCAATACACATGGACAACTACGGACACTCATTCAATTGGAAAAATGTGGAAATCTTAGACAGAGGAAACTCCAAAAACACCAGAGAATTTTTAGAAGCTTGGCACTCAGGTCAATCAGCAATCAACAAACATATTGAAATCAATGCAATTTATCAACCAATCAGGAAAATCATGCATAAATATAGGAACAAAAATCAAACACCAGTGGGAGACAACCAAAATAAAGAAGTAAACAATGATAAATTTAAGGTCAATAAGAACCAATCAGCATCGAGGTGCGCAGAACAAGCTGTGAAACACATGTGGAGAAATTCGAACACTTCACTTCTATCTGAAGTTTGTGCTGATGATGTCGTTCAGAAGAACGATGAGAGCTCCACGACCAAACCATCCAGCTCAGAGAACAAAACTCTACCAAAATCATCCACCTGAGCTACAAATCTTCTCTACCATCTCAAAATCATGTGAGCGTAATACGCTTCTCGTTGTTCGAAAAAATTGTTGGTTGTCTGTCAACCGGCGCTAAATAATCCTATTGTATAAAATACCATTTTTGGCTTATGTGCTTACGGTAATTACGAATTACGAATGTTTCTATGATCCTTTTAATATGAAATAGGATCTACGTCAACTAGATAGGTTAGATAACTATATAAAATACTTTCAACTGTAATTCTTCACATCAATCAATTAGTTGTACAATATGCTTTTTTCTTTCTCTATAATTCCGGCACTTCTACACTGCAACAGACAGTTGCCACACTTTGCCCCTAAATGCCCTGGTACGGCCTAGAGCGGGGAGAGTCAGCTCTCCCTCTTGAAATGCTCTCACATGGCCACATGCATACAACCACTGCCAGGGCAGTCCTACTCATTACCTTCTCGTGGCATTTCTGTTTACGAAATTGAGAAGTGGAAAAGCGAATGTCCGTTGCTTTAACCGGTGGTGGGTACGGAGGGTCCGCCTAGTGTAGTTAGAAAACCCTGATTCCAAACCTTTGGTGCACATGGGCTCCAGTTTTCTAAAGAAATAAATTGTTTATGAACCAATCGTCGGTCACCGGCTACCACGTGACTGCCTCTCCTTACGTTGCTGTACTGCCTTTTGGATCAGACCTTTAGGTCGAAGACTCCGAGTGTGGCTCCCCTAAGTAAACCACCTGCCTCGGTCTGGGCATATGGGCAGTATCACAGCCAATACACAAATCAAGTGACTTGAGTGACGCATATGTATTCGGTGCTCCTTTGTACTAATATTTATGTGTTTAAACTGAAATAATAATAAACAGATTCCAGGTATTTTTTTTGGATTGTGACAAGTCTTGCCGATCGAACGCTATATTCGTTTTCCTAAGCTATTCTGGTAACCCGAAGTCTAAAACTACACAGCGACTTGAACACCAGAGAGAAGACACAAGTATGAGAGAAAATACTTTATCCCAAGGTTCATTTTTGTACAGAAAATCATAGGTATTTATAGATGTTGGCGTCTATTAAATCAACATCATATTTCAGCCAATCCGTTAACGACATATTATGCTACCGACCAATGGTAGCAGGCCACGTTGGAATTCCAGAACGTTCCGTCATACTCTGATTGGCTAGGACCCTTCGGCTCCTTTTGGGCCTCTGTAGGCTCCGTTGAAGTTCTCCGGAAGCCGACTCAACACCTCCCCCGAATAAGATTTCTTTCTGGAATCTACTTGTAGTTTGACGACTGGGGTGCGACGGCGTCCCATTATTCTTGCCCTTTTCCTTGTCCAAGGCTTCTTTTCAGTGTTCCTGGGCATTTGTGGCATTGGTGCATCTAAGATTAAATCTAACGGGAAGTTCGGCCGGTTACTTCGAGTCTGCACCGTTCTTTTGTCCTTAAGGATTTGATTTGCGTGTCGTATACATGTCCCAAAAGCTCCTCGAACTCTTCCCAGTCTTTGTACAACTTCTCCCGGCTCCCATCGGTTCTTCCCGATGTAGGATTTAATGTAAACTTTGTCGCCAACATTGCAGTTCCGGATACTTGGATCGTGACTGCGCTCATCCACTAATTTGGACGGCAACATGGCATCGAAGACGGTTCGAATACGCCTTCCGAACAAGGCTCCCGCAGGGGATTTGCCGTCTGGAACATTCGGGTTCGGGGTGGATCTGTAGGATGTCAAAAATTTTCTGATCACCTGCCCTGTCGTCCCTTCGCCTCCCCCTTTCAGTAGTGCTCTTCTCAATGTATCAACGAAGCGCTCTGCCTGGCCATTTGATTGATGGTGATACGGTGGAGATCGTATGTGTGCAATCCCATTAACGTTGTAGAAGTGCTTGAATGATTCTGCAGTGAGTTGTGAGCCGTTATCGGTCACTAAAGTCTCCGGAACTCCAAAGCAGCTAAACAGGTCGGATAACTTGCCGATTGTTTCACTGGCTGTGCAATTCACCATGGCGTAGATTTGTGGCCGTTTTGTGAGCGCGTCTACTATGACTAGATACATTCTTCCTCGTATTGGACCGGCGAAGTCTGCATGCAGCCTCTCCCAGGAACTATTCGCCTTTTCCCATTGTTGCGGTTCACACTTGCTTGGACTTTTGGCTGCTTGTAGGCACGATGAACAATTGCGGCATCTGGTTTCAATATCTTGATCCATCGTAGGCCAGTATGCGTAGCTTCGAGCCAGCGCTTTCATCTTATTGATACCAGGATGACCGCTGTGGAATTGTCTCAGAACCTTGTAGCGTAATACTTTTTGAACAATAATTCTGTCACCAAACATAATACATGAGTTATATCCGGTGAAGAATAAATAACAGGTAACTTCCGAGGACTATTCATGGACTAATATTTTATAAATATTCTTATTGTATAACTACTCAACAATTACACTATGTATATTTATATTATTTTTATGATAAGCTTTATTTTGACCTATAATTTATTATTGTACGATTTACGGTTCTTAAGTTATGTTCAGTCTATTAACTACTGCCTCCCACATTCACAGCCACTTTTTGGGCTTATTTGTGTACAAATATTATTTCCTATTTTATGGTACGTTGCGGTCTGTCTGATTGATATATAAACCGGG